AAAAAAAAATTGTAAAACTAGCCATCCATCAGTAATAATCTACCTTTGTCAACAAAATAGAAAAACAAGTTTAATAACAAAACAAAGATGCCTTACTAGCATAAGATTTGCGGAACTTAAAGCTAGTAATAGTATTAGAAATTAAAAAGCAATTACGTGTATCTCAAACGTTGTAAGTCAAAAATGAGATTCTTCACAATAGAACTGTAGGGATGATAGGTATTTGTTTCATTTACTATAGGGGCTTCTGTCGGAGTTCATGTGCAAGACAGTTTCTTGGTTTCTAGATTTTGCTGTGGTGGTATGCGACGAAACTTGTTCAAAGTGGAAGTTGGTCTCAGCAAACCACAGGTAGTTCAGCATTTACTGTTTGTAAAGATTATCCTTATATGTTCCAATATTTCGTTCCGTTATCATTATTTAATTTCTCATTGTAAATGCGTTAATGAAAATTGTAAATATAGCGAAGTTTCCTTGCTGCCGATATTCAGATTCGTCTCATGCTATGGGTGTTTCAGGCAAGAACTCCGCCAGCAGTCAGATCAGTGCGCAGTTGAACAGCGCTCAACTTTGTGATGAAATCGTTGTGCTCTGGCGTTGTGCTGTACTGAACCCGATGCTTTCTCCACAGAATCGACGACAGGTATCTCCTCAAATTGAGCCATATAATAAGTTTGAGCAATATTTTCTTTTTCAAGAATCACTTCTTCTATCACCTGTACCCTCTGAGTGTCATAGTGTTTTCAAATTTTTAACAGGTTCCTGTGAACCTTTGTCCATTCTCTTCACTAAGTGGATTTTATTAAGTTGGCTGCTCTATTGCGTACATATCATCGAACAGCAGTCGATCGGATATGGAAGGTCATTCGTGGAACTGGAGGACAAGATGCAGCTGTAGTTAGTAGCAGCCATCAGGTGACGGCTATCGCTTTTTTATTCATCGGTTGTAACATTATTTCTTAATCACTGCAGTTTATCCTGCCATTTTTTATTATGTTTTACCTTTAGGCGGCTATACTGCTGAATTCCATCCAGGACGCAAACAACTGCCCGTTATCTTCAAGCAATGCCCATTTCGGGCTGGCGCAATTTCCCGGATTTCATCCGTCCCTCCAAGTTGGCGAACATTGTCACGATTAGTTCTGGGGTTCTAAATTGACATTTGTTTTTAAGGTGTGCCACGCACTGATAGACGAAACGGTTCCAGGTGTGAGTCAGGTGGCTGTGCTTCATCTACCTGAGGTAGGCAAGTAAACCTTTTTAACTATCAAATTTTTTTACTGAGTTAGCTTACTCAGGCATGTGGAGGCGATTCCAACGTGCCAGTGCAACCTCTTGCATCTTGCAGTTCTTCACAGAAAAGGAATGAGAAAGGCAGGAAAAAGAAGAAAAAGGTTAGGGTTTCTCCCGTTCTTTTTTTTCAACATGTTCCCTACCTTGTTGATAGTGTAATACCTTTGCGATATAGAACCGATCTCGCGCCGTAGCTGCGATGGCCTCCCTGGATTTCCCACCCTTACCGATATTCAACGATGAGGCATCACTTGATCGAGCCGTTCGTTATGCCATTAGAGCTGCCGTTGGTGTGAGTATTTTGCGACAAGTTTGTTTGTTTATTATACTTTGAAATGAAAAATTAAAAAACAACCAGTCAGGCAAGACAGGAACAAGAAACTATTTTCATCTGCATACCATTTGTTTCGTTTACTTTCGGCAGGCTTACTCAATATTCAGACCGATAGAAGAAGTTTCAGGGAGATTGTGATCGACATGGACGCGCAAGACGTCAGGATAGTCTACGCGAAGAGGACAGCTCGGAATCGGGTCAGGAAAGTGACGTACAGGTGAATTATCTCCTCAGCGTTAATCTATCTGTTTCTTCCTTTTAATCTTATTCTATTTGCTCATTTTTCTGAGCGAATTCTTAAAGAGTGGAGAGGTTGGTTTAGAGTAATAACAACTGCGTTTTCAGCTCCCGTCATCCGCTGGTCTGTTGGGAGATGCCCAGGCCGGTGCTTTATCTGCTGCACACGAAGAAGTTGACGCAGTACTAGCTGCGGCATACCTTCCAATGGAGCCAATCGAAGTTCGATTTGCTCGTTGTGAAGCGTTGGCTGCACATGGTTATATACCTCAGGTAATCCTTGTTAAAGTTCGTAGAAATGTAATATTCGGGCCATTGTGATTGATTAGTTCTACATTTATCTTCCGAGAATCAAAATCTAAATGATAGAAAATGAGAAAATGATCGAAAATGAGCGATTTCTTTCAAAATGGTGGGCCCAATCAGGGCAAAATGGCACTTTTTGCTTCACGCTTGGCCTCACTTCATTTAGTTTACCATTGTTTAAGAGTTTCTCATTTTGACAATGATTTTTATTAATTGCTTCATTTTTTTGAAATGTTTTCTGAAGAGATTTCTTTACTGTTGTGAAGGGCTGATTTTTTGGTTCGATAAAATTGAATGGCATTTTAAGGCTTCAACACTTGCTCTACAACTATCTGACTACCTCGTAGAACATCTTCAAGATCTTTCCGATGCAGAAGAAACACAGTCATATAATGTGAGTGGAATTCAAGTTATCCCTTCTTCAAATTTGCTAAATAAGTGCATGAATGCTTCTAGGCAAACATTCCCAGCAGTAGTCGGGATGGTGCAGTTGATTCAGTGGAATCTTACTTCAATCGTAGTCAACGATTTGTTGACGCTGTGGAAAAAGCACTTTACTTGGCTCATGTGAGTTTATCGTTTTCACCTTTCCGTTCTTTTTGTTACAAAGTCTTATAATCTGCAATCTCATTTTTAGATTTTGAGCGCGGATACTGCTAATCATCCTGGCATGTTTACTTTCTTGCTTA